CTCACTTTATAGGCACACTTTATATGCTTCGAACCGGCGAAACGTCCTCTCCCGATCACTTCCACCAGAAAAATGGCGGGACGCGCCACCAAGAAGTGATCTCATTGGCTGAAATACAGCGCATGCTCATACATTCAAAACCGCGCGAAAAATTAAAAGATAAAATAAATAAATTTTTTACCGTTTATAATGTATAATTGCTGTAAAGGTTTGTTTATTAAAAATATAATAAAAATTTATTATTAATATGTACAATAAAATTATTTAATATATGTAACCTAATTTAAATGTTCAAATTCAATTAATTTTGTTAACAAATGGAAAAGAAACTTAATAAAAAGTCAACTATACAAAATTGAATTCTTTGGTTTTGAAATAAATACATTTTATTCTATTACTACCCAAAGTTAGAATAATTATATGATAAATTTTTCCACAAAAATTTCTTGATTACTTTATTGTGTCAGCAAGTGGAAAAGAATCCCTATAAAAATTAATATAAAATATACAAAAATAGAAACTGCTGATTTTAATATAAACATAAAAGAATCAATCTATTGTACTTCTAATGTTCTCAATCTATTGTAATTCAATGTTAAAATAATTTGAAGATTTAACTTTTTCCTGAAAAATTACTCTATTAATTTATTTTGTCAGCAAACAGAAAAGGATCATTGTAAAAATTGAAATAATATACACAAAAATAGAATCTCTAGCTTTAATATGAGCACAAAATAAAATTCTATTCAATCTCTATCCAAAATTAGAATAATTTAAATAATGACAAACATTTCCCCAAAAATTGCATTACTAATTTATTTTATCAGCAAGTAAAAAAGAATCTTTCTAAAAATTGAAATAAAATACACAAAAATAGAATTTCTTGGCTTTAATATAAGCACAAGAAGAACATTTTATGCTATTTCTATCCAAAGTTAGAATAATTTAAAGAATGATAAGGTTTTTCACAGAAATTTCTTGATTACTTTATTGTGTCAGCAAGTGGAAAAGGATTCTTATAAAAATTAATATAAAATACACAAAAATAGAAACTTTAATATAAGCACAAAAGGATCAATCTATTATACTTCTATTCAATGTTAAAATAATTTGTAGGTTTAACTTTTTCTTAAAAAATTATTCTAATAATTTATTTTGTCTACAAGTAAAAAAGGATTCTTGTAAAAATTGAAATAAAATACACAAAAACAGAATTTCTAGGCTTTAATATGAGCACAAAAATATCATTCTATTCTATTTCTATCCAAAGTTAGAATAATTTAAAGAATGATAAGGTTTTTCACAGAAATTTCTTGATTACTTTATTGTGTCAGCAAGTGGAAAAGGATTCTTATAAAAATTAATATAAAATACACAAAAATAGAAACTACTAACTTTAATATAAGCACAAAAAGATCAATCTATTATACTTCTATTCAATGTTAAAATAATTTGTAGATTTAACTTTTTCCTGAAAAATTATTCTAATAATTTATTTTTGTCTGCAAGTAAAAAAGGATTCTTGTAAAAATTGAAATAATATACACAAAAATAGAATCTCTGGCTTTAATATGAGCACAAAATAGAATTCTATTCAATTTCTATCCAAAATTAGAATAATTTAAATAATGACAAACATTTCCCCAAAAATTGCATTACTAATTTATTTTATCAGCAAGTAAAAAAGAATCTTTCTAAAAATTGAAATAAAATACACAAAAACAGAATTTCTTGGCTTTAGTATGAGCACAAAAAGATCATTCTATTCTATTTCTATTCCAAAGTTAGAATAATTTAAAGAATGATAAGATTTTTCACAGAAATTTCTTGATTACTTTATTGTATCAGCAAGTAGAAAAGGATTCTTATAAAAATTTATATAAAATACACAAAAATAGAAACTACTAACTTTAATATAAGCACAAAAAGATCAATCTATTATACTTCTATTCAATGTTAAAATAATTTGTAGATTTAACTTTTTCCTGAAAAATTATTCTAATAATTTATTTTGTTAGCAAGTAAAAAAGGATTCTTGTAAAAATTGAAATAAAATACACAAAAATAGAATTTGTTATAGTTAATATGAACACAAAAAAGATTATTTTGTTATACTTTTATCCAAGATTAGAATAGTAATTTAAATAATAATAACTTTTTTATGAAAAATTTCTTGATTATTTTTTTTCTCAACAAGTGGAAAAGATAATAGTTGAAGTTAAAGATAAAATCTCTTTGAAATGAAGACAAAAAGATTATTTTACTTTATTTATATAATATATTTATATGTAATATATTTATACTAATATATATTTATTATATTAATTTATATATTGATAAGTTTTTTCTCAAAAATTTCTTGATTAATTTATTTTGTTGGAAAGTGAAAAAAGATTCTTATAAAAATTGGTGTTACAAATAGAATTTTTGGGGGAATAAATCATTCTATTTTATTTCTATCTAAAATTGCAGTTTAAATATTGAAAATGTTTTTTTAGAAAATTTATTTTTAAAAGAGAAATGATCTTTAAAAAATATTAGAATCATATATGTATAAATAAGGAAGATGTAGATTAATTAAATTTGAATACAATTGAATAAAAAAAATTTTTAACATAAAATCTAGAGAAATATAAAAATGTTAAAATATAAAAATAATATACCAAAAATTAATCGTAGTAGAAATTATTTACATAAAAAAAATAAAAATAAAACAGAATGGAATAAAAAACAATTTAACATTGAAATCAATTCTAAAAAATTTAAAAAAGGATTTAACATATATATTAATTAAGACGAAACATAAATTAATAATCTATAATATAAAAGTTATCTAAATCTGAAAAAACTACAATATATAAGAGTAGAGTTTATGATTATAATAAGTAAATAAAGTATATATATAAAAGCATAAGAAAAAAAAGCATAATATGGAAATTAAAAATTAGAAAAAATTTAATATTATACTATTGTAAATTATGAATGATTGTAACATAAGAAAAATTTAATATAAAATATAAAATAAAAAATGATAATAGCTTGAATTTAAAAGATAAAAATATCTAAGAAAAAAAGTTAATACGTAAAGGAGAATTTTAGCATAGATTTTGAATTATAAAAGACACGCATAAAAAAAATTTAATATTATAATAATAATAATATATATATGTATAAACTATAACAAAGAAATGTAACATAACATAAATAATAATATAGTTAAAAAAGATTCAAACATAACAGAAAAATTTAACCTAAAAATTAAAGAAATTAAAAAATTAACATTATTATAAATAAATATAAAAATATAAAATGTAATATAGAAATAAGATTTAAAAAAACAGAAATATAAGGAAAAATATAACAAAATATAAATCTAAATAATCTAAAACTAAAGAAAGATATTAAAACTTTAAGTAAATATATGTAACAAATGACATATAATGCAAGATCCCACGAGATGTCTATTGTGTTTGTGTAATAGATTAAGAATTAAAGCACAGCGCCATCTCTTAAATGCTAAAAACATTTCTTTAAAAATATCCCCAAGAGATGGCACTGAGTGTCAATTTTTATTTTATCTCTATCTTTCTCCCACTATTTGCTTTCTTTCTCGACGTTAGTTTAATCTGCGGCACTCTAGAGATGGCGCTGATTCTGTAATTTTTATTCTATCTCTGTCCTTTTCTCATTATTTGCTTTTCTTGTCTAAACTGCTACAATTTATACAATTCAAATGATAATGCTAATAAATTCCTTTCTTATATTTTTGTCTTTCTTAATTATATATTTATATTTATTTATCTTATTATAATTTTAATAATCTATAATTATTTTAATAATCTATTTTTATTCTTTATTCATATATTTTTATTTATATATTTATATTCTTTAGAATAAAATATCTTTGATAGATAGAAATTTTTAAAACTTATGTTAATCGATGTATCCTTTCTAATTTTATTTTCGTATAATTTATAATTAAAAAATATAAATAAATTATAAAATATATTACCGTATATCTGTTGACAAGTTTCGAAATATTGAACTTTTTTTTCTATAAAAATCATATTGTATATTTTCTATGTGACAATTCTTATAGTAATTCTTGACTTTTATTTCCTGTAATAAAAAAATTTGTACAATAATAAAAACTAAATAGAATAAATATTTGGACAACATAATAAGGATAAGGATAATAATAAAGTAAAATAAGTAAAATAAGAAAGGTAGAATAAGACCAGAATATTTTAGATGAAATTAGTTAATGATATTTTATTATCCGAGAACATATGCGCGTAGCTAAATTGGTCGATTTAAGACGGGCAATTTACACATAATTAATAGCAAGCGATTTGCACACTTGTGAAATTATTTCAAATCGCAATGGATCGACCAATCGAGCATAATGTTTGACTATACAATATTGAAGATATTTTTATGTACAGGCCATCAAGAAGAGAAGAATGGAACGTTTATTATTATTCCTTATCTTTAAACTACTAATATTCGCAATTGCTCTTTGAAGACATTTATGGTTCGCCTAATAAACGCATGTTACAATATTATTAGAACTTTTATTATCTCTTCATTGACGTTATTATTTTTTAATTAATTAATTATTAAAAATTAACATTACAATTTAAATTTGCAATGTAAATTTTATATTTAAATGTATTTAATTTAAAATATCAATTTTGATCAAACTTTTATTTGAAAAGAAAAATGAACGTGTAAACTCTAGTCTTACAAAGTATCATATAAAATTAATATAGTGATATAAAGTATAATATAGTAAAATATAATATAATAGTAAAATAATGTCATTCTATTTAATTTCACGAAATTCTGTAAGATGGTAAAAAAATTGTAACATACATTTTTTAGATACAACCTGTTTCGTAAAATAAATTTCCATGAAGTATGTTTTCTTACCAGATCCGAATGAATCGGGTCAATATTCACAATTTCATGTGAATATTCATTACTTTTTTTTTTTTTTAATATTGTGTTACATGCTAATTTATTGCATACAATTGTTTATTCGGCAGTTTTCGTTCATTGTAATACTGATCTGTTACTAGAAACGCTTTTTGGCTGGCATTCACGAATACAGAGCGATGCGAAATATGTAGTGTGCAATCGTAATTTGAAGACTTTGTTTTTTGATGAGGTTCATGACGAGCTGATCATCCAAGTCTGGAGGAAAACAAAGCTGGCAATTGTGATATACAAGTTATTCAATTTTTCGCAGTTTGTTCGCGCTGCATTCCATTGATCATGATGAACCGCAGCTTGCTTTTCACCTGCAACAAAAAATAAATATATTAGTATGGAGAAAATATAAAATGTTTATATTTTTTTAAAGAGAAATTATAAAAATATTATCGTAATTTTATTCCTTCTTCTTGGTATCTTCGATTAGTCATCAACTTTATAAGGAAATTCTCCCAATCAGAAAATTCATTTCAATTCCATTTCAATGAAAATATTTTGAACTTGAGGAAATATATTTTACAACAAGATGATAAAAATCAAATCTTGAATTTCATATTAGAATATATAATATATTTTAACTTGCATTGCTAAAAAATTATATAAATCAATATAAAATAATGAAAATAACATTGAAATTTAAAATTAACTTTACCTTTTCAAAATAAAAATCGCCAAGAAAAAATTGTACCGTATAATCCATTGTACTCTGTGTATTTATAAAGTTTCATTAAAAATTAAATTCTAATTAATTTTAATAATACAATTTGTAAATTAAATTTGCTTAAGACGTATGAAGATTAACTATATGAAGTATATAACATATATGTTTTCAATATTACGCTTAAATTTTATATTCACATTATTGAATTATTCTATCACCATAAGAGAATCTTTATACAAACGCATAACTTTCAATTCAATTTACCATTCAGGACGTGAATATGCACCGCGGCGGTACTGAATTGGCTCACTGAGCACGAGTATTCGCCGCTGTCAGTCTTTTTCGCCTGTTCGATATATAGCTTGGTCACCAGATCTTCGTTCGACCTGAAAAATCAGTTGTCATGTTATACGTCGAACGTTCATTTCAATATGTATTTTTACAAAAAAAAAAAAAAGAAAAATATGCAAACGTTCGATGTCGAATCACGATAGGATCGAATATCGTGAAAAATTGAAATCGATAGTGAAATATCTCTCGTTCGAATTTCAAAAGAAAGATAATTTCGTCTTGTACATTTGGAACGTTAATCTTGATATCAGAAACTATGCAAATTTCGTTGAATGCTCTGAATTAGGCACGAAATCATAATACCTATTCCATGACAAACATCAACAAGATCCAATACCAGTGGATGGATGAGACTCGTTTAATAAGATAGCATTGAGTTCAAATGTAACAATTTAAACCCTACCGAAATGGAATTATATTCTATTCTAAACGATGGATTACGATTTAACAATTTACTTAATATAATATATTTCGTTCAGACAATATAATACAATTTCTAACAATATATACAAGATAATAAAATTGTGCATAAAAAAATCCACAATGCATCGATTGAAAAAAAAAATTACACGATTCTATTGATTCTAAAATCAAATAAAATAAATTAATCATGAATATACATTTATACAATTATTCAATCGATGAATCAACGATATAAGTGGATTAAATACGGACGAAAATATAAATTACAAAACGAGAAGAAAATATAGAGTGAATACGAAAACAGGAGTCGAAATGGAATGTAGCGATTGCAAGGGCATTGAGCGTCTCGTGAAAGCGCCTCCAGGGAGACTAAACGGTTCGCTCGTTATCGAGAAAGGGTGCAGGTGAACGTTAGACAGCTTTCAACGGGGAGTCGATTCGATAAAAGCGGTGCTTACACGCTTGCTGATACGTACGAAGACACAATTGCACATCGATAAACGAACGTAAATCGAAACGCAGTTTATCTATCGTGATTCCATCCTTTTTTTTTTTCTACCATGTATGCTCACCCATTAATGTGATAAACGTTGACGTGATCCGGCAACGTCCTACCATTTTTCCTCCAGACGGGATACGGTATCCTGGAGTCAGGGCAAGAAGGTCGAGCGACACAGGCTAGCTCGATACCGCTTCCGGTTTTGTAGTACCGATCTCGAAGTTCGTGTCTGGCCTCGTCCAGGATCCTGATGTCCGGAGCTGGGAAACGAGAAATGTATTTTTTTTCGAATCCTGATCACTTGTTTGATAAATGATTGATCTACACTACTTGTCTAAACACGAATATCATAAATGTGAGATAAGTTCGATAAAGGAATTGAAACGCTAGATTTTAGACTATAATCATGGATTAAGTATATTCTCTATTAGATAGAGAAAAATTGTGATAAGAGAAATTGATGAAATATTTGTAAGATGCACGTAAGAAAAGAATAGGTAGAGATATAATTGGTCTATACTACTGATCGCAACAGTAGATGTATGTCAATCATTTGTCAGTCAAATCGTGATCAGGCGAGGTAATTAATAGATAAAATTGCCAACCATGATTAATTATTTTGCATTAATTATTTAAGATATAGAAAAAATTATGATTGAAAAAATAGCATATTTACGAAACACGTATAAAAATAGAAGAATAGAGATATTGATTGATTATTATATTTTATTATATTTTTTATCATTGCTTTTTTGTTTTTGTTCAAAAATTTACTTCAAAATAATTTACTCTTTTACAACGAACTTTTCACCCTCACAATTTTACTCCAATCATAATCGTTTCCAGGCAAATCACACCGTAACGTGATAATAATAACTTGATTCGATAATTAGCGAGCGAACGAGCGCGAAAAAGTTTCGAGAGAGCGAGAGCAACAAGGTGTTGCCTTCTTACAAATGAAAATAAGAAGAAATATAGAACGAGGGGAAGTACGTGACACGATACGTGCTCCTGTTTCCGTGGCAATCTTCTTTTCTGTGGGCTTCCGCAAGATTCCACCGACATAATTGAATCTTTCCGGATACGAAATTCAAAGTTGTTTCAGCATTGCCGGAAAACGCGTCTATGTTTTGTGTACATCTTGAACCGCAAACTGGAAAATGTGATTTAGTCGGTATGCGATGATTTTATGCACGGATATGAGAGTTAAAAATGATTTTATAGTGAGATAAAATTTAAAATTTTTATATAAAAGTTTTATTATTCAAACATTTTATTGAATATGACGAAATTTTTGTTGTTGTTTATTGTATTTGAAAAATAAAAGTGTAAGTAAATTTTTTGTTATTCTAATATGAGCACAATATTCTGCGAAGAAATTTATTATTATTAAATCAAAAAGAGAATGTGTAATTGTTAATTGTTGTAATAATTCGAAATAAAAGTAAGAGTGTAATTTATTTATATAATTTATTAATTTACTTGTTCAATCTAATGATCAGATCAATATTGGTCAAGTGGGAAATTATTGATCTACTGTTTTTTTAAAAAAATTATTAATTTATACTATTATTCATTTAATTGTCATTCTAATAAATTATTAATCCTGCCCTATCTATCCAAAAATGATTGACCTATATTATTTCTTTATTCGTTTTCTTCATTTTATCGAGGCATCTAATAAATAATTGATTTAAACTTCTCATTTAGTCATAACTATTTTATATAGATCGATCAATCATCCCTTAAATATGATAAAATAGCCATGACTAAACGAAGCAATTAAACTATTAAGTGTCATTATAATCATCAATTAATCTACTCTAATCAAAGAGGTACAAGCAGTAGAAAATAGAGCACTCGAGAAAAGTATCACGCCATTGATCCATGCCACGTATATTCCCCAAAGTTTGCGTGTCCTAACTTAAACAAACATCACACGTCAAATCGAATTACAAACAATAGAAAAGAACGACAAAGAGGACAATAGAACAATTATCCTCGTCCTTTCTCGAACAAATCCCCTATCCTCTTTGGAATTCCCTGAGCAAGAATAGCTTCGATCCTGAGAATTCGATCCAATCATACGATTCCTCATCAGAGAAATCTTAAATATCGTTGACAACGATAAAATCGTGCCAGGAAATTATTTTATCGCTTCCATGATGTCGATATCGATCGTGGAGCTTTACCTATAGGACTTCACGACCTAATTGAACGCATATCTCCTCCTCTCCGCGTGATTCATATCGTATGCGAGGCTCGTGCGTTCGAACGAGTGGAAAGTGTCGCGAGGAGATCCGTGGCATCGATTTATGGAACGATGCAGGATGGAAAATGGGAAGAGGAACGAAGAATTTTTCTTCCTCTTTTCGATGTTTTCCTTTTCCGTTTTAATCGAGAATTTCGAGAATTATGAGAGTGAGTCGAAAGTTTTTTGGTCGATGCAATATGGGCTTCTTAAATAAAACTTAATATTCTATGTATATGTATACTTGATCAAAATAATTTTCACACGAGTTTGTCCATTTCTCTCATTGATTATTTTATTAATTTGAGTTTATGAGAAATCCTTGAAAGAGAATTCTTTCCTTTTAGTTTAAAATAATTTATTGACCGAATAATTATCTAGATAAAATATAAATGTCATATTATATAATAATAACATATAGTTCTTATAAATAATAATAATTTTATAATAATTTTGATGAATAAATTGTTTCAAAAGAAACTTGAAATAAAAGAATACTCAGAATCTCGAAGGTTGTTTTTTCTTTTTTTTCAATTTTTATATTAATAATATTTTGAATATTATATTCCATTGTGTTTATGAATCTCTAGTTTTTTTTAATATATATTGAAAAAAGAAAACTTGCATTAACATTTTTTTTAAATTACCACAACTTCTTTAAATGGTAACTAGTTCGTTTGATAAACTCTGATTCCTCTCAGGTGTATCGAAGAATTCGATCGATCAAGATTTGTTTCCACCGATATCGAAGAAAACAGGGTTCTGGTCTTCGTGTTCTTCGTTTCTTATTTCGAGATAAAAGAGTTCTTTGGCGTTCCGTGAGGCGCATCTTTTCAGAGTTTCGATACGCGAGAGAATAAAAATCGCTGAAGCGACAGGGTAGTTCCGATACCACCTTAAAGTTTTTGCATATCTCGTTTAAACTCTTAAGAGAAGGATATTTTCGACTCCTGCCGTGTCTCGAATCTGATGAAAACAAATGATCGATCTGAAATCGAAGATGTGCGATAAAAGAGAATAGCTTGCGATATACTTTTCATTTTCGTTTTCAATCTTTTAATAAATAATAGCATCGCGAGTATCTCTGAAATATTTTCTCGTGTTTCTTAATATGATAATTAAATCGAAAATTTTTATTTTAAATATAAAATATAAGAAAATAATAAGTTAAGATTAATATTTGATAATTTTAAACATTTTTATAAAAAAGGCCAATTTTATTATAATTTTATTATTGTAGATTGAAGTTAAAAGTCTAATAACTATGCTTAATGAAAAAGAAAATATTCTAATATAAGAGAAAATAGTAGTATGATGATTTCTATTTAATATTAAAAAAAACTAATTTAATGGACGTATGAGACAAATACAGATAAACATGAAAATATATTAAACATTGGAATGATTTACTCACATATAAAATATATCAAATTATAATTAGCAAGCAAATTGCTATCTTTTTTCATTATACCTGATGTAATGTAATAAATTTTCATCAATGTTGATCTCTTGAAAAAGTTTTGCAATAACATAAAATTAATATTCGTGAAGTTGATTTTATGGAGAAAAGTTAATTCGCATCTACATTAATCATCTATGAAATGCTTCATATATCTCGTAAAATACAATTTTTATTAAAACGAACTGCACATAATTTTGCAGAAAAATTTTGTACCATTACATTTTAATGAAATGTGATATTTTTATGGTACGAATATATTTTAAATAAATCAAAAACGTTACGATAATAGAATTATCGTAAAATTTTATTTTTCATCGAAATAATTTTATTCGTAACGGTAAGCGAACGTTCAAGTAAAATGAAAAATATTCCATGCGGTGATGTTTAGTCAGAGATGAATTATTCATTGAAGGAGAACTTCTTGTAACCTAATCTACGAAACATTCTGCTTACGTTGAACATCATACTTCCCTCAAGTCTGTTGCAAGTAAGCTCTGAATCATCTTTAAATAAACCACCTTCGTTCACCCAAGAAACATTCGTCTCTTTCATTCGAAATTAGTATAACCATTCAAAGGAATTCTCTAATCACGTATCTCGTAACCACAAAGGCGAAAAATAATTGAGTTAATTCTTCGAATTTCAAAAAAATTCTTCTAAAAAATACAAATTAATATCCTTCTATTTTAATAAGATTTTTCTTTAAAGATATATCATAATAATTTACAATAAAATCGAATATTAAAATCATTTGTTAAAGATAAAATTTAATTTTATCCATCTCCAACTAATTGCAAGAAAATAAACTTTGACAACTCTCATATAAAACAAAAATTTCTATCAATCGTTTTTATTAACATTTTAAATTTACTGTGACTTATACCATTCACTTTAGATTTCATTTATCATAAATCATCAATTATTCTCTTCCTTTTTCTTCAATCAGTCATGTCATACATAAAAGAAAACCTTATTACAAGGCATTATGTACTCAAAATTATCACGTAGACATTGATGATGAATTTAATGCATCGTAAACATATATTTCCAAAATTTCAATTAATCTTCCAAATTTATCGCTTTCAATCACCAAAAGGAAAAAAAAAGAAAAGAAAAATCGAAATAATCGTTTGAACTGCATGAACTCGATTCACCGTTGAGAATTTATTCAAACTATTGTTATATTCGAAACGAGGCCCTTTGGCGACCAAATGACGTCAATAATACCTTAGACCCACGAATTAAATTCTGCCTAACGAGCAGGTTGGCGAGAAACACGTAAAATCTCTCGCTGGTTCGGCACATAGAGGCCGAAACCTCGAGCGTATTGACTTCCAATTCGACATATTGACCCGGCCTGACAAAACTACCCCCCTCGACAAACACACTCCCGGACTGTGGTCGTGTTCTTTGCTTGCACGACCAGTTTCTCAATTAAACTTTTATTATCCCGCTCATAAGAACAACGATCGTATACGCGAAACGATTGGAAGGAGAGTGGGTCGTTGGAAAAATCCAAGCTCGACCATCTTCTAATTAAAGGGATA